GCAGGAATGATGCTGAGGGAAGATGCATCTGCTGCTACAAAAATACATGTAATCCCCAAGATGAAAACACTGGAAACATTAAAACACCAAATTACAGTACGAGATTAAAACAAATAAAAGACAACAAAATGACACTTGGAGTTAACATCAAATAAAACAAGGTACCTTGATTAGAAAAAGGAATTCCTTTAAAATGAGCGGGTAAAAAGAGACAGAATATGTTAATCTAATGTGTGTGTGTGTGTTTAGTTCTCAGATCATCACTAAGCAAACTGCCATTTCTGATTAATATTGATCGAACATCTGTTTGTTTTTGTGCACCTAGAATATATTCCATTTGTTCCCCCAAGGAGAGATAGTGAAGTAGCAGCACTAACAGTGATTAGGAATTCTGAAGGTTTAGCACAGGGGACCTCAGGCTTTCTCTGAACCATATTTTATGTTGTTGTTGTTTTGTTTTTTTTATTCCAGTTTCATAAAAACAAACAAATTAGATAATGTGAATGGGGAGTCTGGGATTAATTTTGAAGCAGCTGATTAGTGTGTGTGTCCTGGGATAATTGTGTCTGGGACCATGCCTAAAAGGCCTCCAGGCTTTACTGCAGTCTGAATACTCACCACCACCCATCCCCCCTACAGCCCACTCCTCCTGTCTTTTCACATTTTCCTGTCATCTGGAAGAAAAACTTGTTCTTCTTTCCATCACTTCACACAACTCCGTTTCTTCCACCTTCCTTTTCTTCACGCTTCAAGCCATCCTCCCTCTTTTCCGCTCTCATTAGATCACACTGTGTGTGCATTATGTCTTCATTTTGACAAAATGTACATCAACAGCGCAAGGTATAATGGAAATATTTTAATGTCAAATAACAGACACAAATGTGTCTTGACAAAATGTTCAGAACAGAACAAACAAAGCATCTCTTAATGAGTCAACTGAGTAAATAAAATAAACAATAGCAGCTCAAGTATAACGTTATTAGCACTAATGCTAAAGAGTAAACATCATGAGATTTAACTATAATTACAGAGTAAAGGACCATTCTTATAAATAATAACAGTACATCTGTTAAAATGCCCTGTTCAGCTCTGCTTATCTGATAAGAACCATTTCAGTTCTCACTGTCACTTTAACCACCATGAATGACTTTACTTTGTAGCTTTGTGCATAAATTCCTGTCACAAATGTATTCCTATTCTAGAATAGGAACTGTGGGACTTAGGTGACTCTATTGCAAAACCCTGATCAAATCCAGGCCGATCCGTCCCCTCTGAGGGTCCACATTCAGGACCCGAACCTCCACCCGTTCCCCAGGTCCCAGAGCCAGGCTGCGGTGGCGCTGGCTGACAGGCAGCTTATCAGGGGTGATGTTACTCTTGTGGATGAGCCCCGATCGGCCCACACCGATATCTACAAAAGCCCCGAACAGCGCTGTGTTGTCCACCCGGCCCGTCAGGACCGCACCCACCCGCAGATCACTCATTGACACAATGCCCCGCTTAAAGTCCGCCTGCCCAAAATCTGAGGATGGCAAAGAGAAAGATCAAGAGAGAGAATATCAAAAAGATGAGTGGGTAGACAGAAGTGAGAAAAAAGATGTGTACACTGTTTGACAAAGTTGGGAATGGGTGGCAGCTAGTGGAAATGTTTGGAAGGAGAGATAGGTGAAGGGGATGCGGGAAAGTTGTATGATGAAGTCTGTGAAAGGTTGATGGAGCGTGTGTGAGAAAATGAACAGAGAGAGATACAAAAAACATGTACTGTCCGTTTGTCTCTGAGCCAGTGAGTGAAATAAACAGCATGAAGTGTGTGTGTGTCCTGGCACGTGTGAGGTGGTGTGTGGGCGTCGAGAGGGAAAGCTCATAAAACCCATGATCACACTGATGAGGTCACGGGGAGTGAAACTGGAGAAAGCCTTTCATTTCCTGTCTCATTCAATCCCGCTCTTTCCTGCTTCTATTCATCCATCTCTGCTCTACTGTTTTTCACCTGTGATGCCAAAGTGTCTCATTCTTTGACCATCTAGATTTTTTCTGTATGTGTCACCCAACACTTATTCACTTTGAATGTGTGTTAAAAATATACATACAACCATACTGAACTGTCACATTTATTTTGAGTGAAGAGAGCTGGGTGTATCCTTTCTGTCCTGCAAGTCCAAATTAATGGAAGCTACACACACAGATTTTGCTGAACAGTATGCTTTACCAAAGTGAAATGCTGATTTTAGTCCGCCCCCAGATGTTGTGAGTCAAAATGCAAGTACAATCTTGGGTGATACTTTCAGCATAAATGTGCACAGACCACAAAGAGTAGTTTTCACACAAAACAAATCTGTAGCCAAAGGGAGGTGGTACTGATGTCAGTGGTAACACCTGCTAACCTTAGTTATTTTCTGTTGGAAAGGGGAAAAAACATAACCACCAGGAGAAAGTGTTCACAACACACCTGCTAACCTGTTATTTTCTGTTGGAAAGGGGAAAAAGCATAACCACCAGGAGAAAGTGTTCACAACACAAGTGCCACAGCAACAGAGACTGACTAAAATCCTCACTTTACTTATACATAACTACTTTCAGATACTGTACTTTGAAAGCAACACATCTATTATCCTGTACTGCCTGTTGCTAATGCAGCTGTTGAGCCGTGTCTGTCACAATTATCAAAGTCACGGATGTGAGCTCACTCTTTCACACTGCTGTTGATAATACTGCAGTAGGAAGTAACACCAAAATATAGAACAGACACCCACAGTCCATTCAACATTTACATTTAGACATACATCACTCTTATGAATGCTCACTGTAAATGTGTTGCCTAAAGAAAATATTTTTACTTCTATGACATACAGTATCTGATACTACAGAAGATGTACAACAGCATCAACAAATGGAAATATATGTGGTAATGCCATCTGTCTGCCCATTCATCCGTTCTTCCATCCAGGGGTGATGTTACTCTTGTGGATGAGCCCCGATCGGCCCACACCGATATCTACAAAAGCCCCGAACAGCGCTGTGTTGTCCACCCGGCCCGTCAGGACCGCACCCACCCGCAGATCACTCATTGACACAATGCCCCGCTTAAAGTCCGCCTGCCCAAAATCTGAGGATGGCAAAGAGAAAGATCAAGAGAGAGAATATCAAAAAGATGAGTGGGTAGACAGAAGTGAGAAAAAAGATGTGTACACTGTTTGACAAAGTTGGGAATGGGTGGCAGCTAGTGGAAATGTTTGGAAGGAGAGATAGGTGAAGGGGATGCGGGAAAAGTGAGGGGGTGGGGCAGAAATGACAAACATATTACATTTGGAGCAGTAACCAAATACTTGTGTCTACATACTTCCACATTTCTCAGCATTCTACTGTACCCCACTTTCCACTTGGCCTGTTCATGGGAGATCTGTTTCCTTTCTGTATTAACACAAACAAGGAAGGCTCGTGCCTCAGGAAAGAGTCCAGTCCAATTATCTTCCCCACAGCATGGATTTCATGCGGTAGCCTCAGCCCATCTGTTTACTCAGCTGAGCCCTGGCTAGGAGGCCAAGCATAGTGTGCTGCAACCAAATAGGGCCAACCTGAGAATGAACCTTAAAGGGTTAGCCTGTATCAACCGGGTATCCAGGCCTGACTTTTTCCCTCTCTGTATGAAACTGTATGAAAAAGAGGGCATGGTAACATGGTAATTTTTGGACCTTTCAGAACCCAAATTCATTAATTTACTTTTCATCATTATTATATATGGACAAAAGGAATAATTTCTTTGACATTCACATGTACAGTATACACATGAAGTAACTAGTTAGTGTTTGGTCAGTAAATGTTTCTAACTTCCTGCAAAAAGTACAAGACTTTTATTTATATTTCCCTTTGAATACTTAAAAAGCTTTTTCAAACGTGTGGGCTCACTTTCCCATTCAATTAAATGGCAAAGTGCATCCAAACTTTTGACTGGTAGTGTATACAATATATTTATTTACCATGTAAATAAATTGCTTTGAGCTAAAGGCTTCTATATTTCATACACATTTTTTTCAGAATATAAACAAGAAAAGGTGAGACTGTAATGTGACATGAATTTGAGCTACAGCAAAAGTCTAATTGTTTGTGAGTGTATATGATTTTACTGGTAAAGTGAACTCAAGAGTACGGGAAAGAGGAGAAAAACAGAGATCTTTGTGTTTGTGTGTAAAGATTTTCTTTCCAACAACACAGTCTGCAGGATCCATCTCGCCCTGTCATAAACATTCTGCTTGTGTTGTTGGGCTACAAGGAGGAAGCCACAGCACTGTCAGATCCTGTCAAGTTACACTGCCAAGATATGGTAAAAGAAAAGTCAGTGTGTGGTAACTAGCAAACTAGTCAAAGCACTTTCTCAGTCAATAGGGACCTATGAAGGAACTTTGCATCGGTCAAATTGCAAAGATGAACAGTGAATGAACTATTATATGTTTAAAAACTGTGTTTTGTTCAGTGATAAGATCTTTTCACAAAGGTAAATAACAAATGTATGGCCCCCTGTGAAACACTGGGGAAAAAAGACTTCAGCTGTAGCTGTTTTAGGTTCAGGTTCAGAGGCAGCGCCTTTTCTTATTGTGCACCCTTCCTCTGGAATAGCCTTCCATATGATATTAAGCAAGACACTTCAGTCATGGGACCATCTTCCACCCAGTGCCAGGTGTACAGTCCCATGTCATGCGGTGCACAAGGCGCAGACATGTTGCTTGCTACTTAGACAGGGACTCGCAGCGGCGCACCAAAATGCTACAGATTAAAATTAGAATGTCTTCAGAATTACAATTATTATCCTGTAACACAAAGTTATTTTAAAACATGTAAATGGTTAATATTATATTATGTATCAGAATTATTTGGTCACCATAATGATCAATGTAAATGGCAAATTGAGAAATCGTGGCTCTACACATAGGTATTTAAATCAGTCCCAATCTCCATCCAGGTAAATCTGCTGTGGTACCAGCACGTCTGCTTTATTACGTGCATGTTATGCACAAAACACACCAGTGAGTTAATTAAAAGCAAGTCCAACCCTTTTAAAAGAATCGCCTCATGCAGATATATTTTTGCATCATCAAATAAGCTAATTTGGTCTGGATTTGCCCTGTATACACCTTGATTACTGCATCTGGAAAGGTGCGCTTTAGATTGTCAAAATAGGGCCCATGATGTTTAAATCTAAACTTAAACCTTATCTTTATTCCTTGATATATAGATGGTATGAAATATTGTGCTTTACTGACTCTGTTTTGTTTTTATTCAGTTTATGGTATTTTGTATGTTTTTGTGAAGTGTGCTGAGATAAATAAACTATGATTTACTGATTGACTGATTAATCAATTGAGTGTTGCTCAGTTTGAATTCCTTTAGAAACATGGGTGTGTAATGAATCTAAATGCTCTAATTCCTCTCACAATCTGAAATATCAGAATCTACGTAAATGTTGAGTTTGCATGGCTAACTACGCTGCATCTTTTCCCTCAATTATTTGTACCCATGTTCTTTGTATTCCTGTTCTTGTGCTTAATGTTGTTCCATGATCTTAATCACCCTATTATTCAGATGTTTATAAAATGCATATTTCAATCTTACTTGCTTCTGCTGTCACAAAAAGGACATGTATCAATATTTCTGTTTGACTGTGAGTGGCAGGAGCCTTACTTTGTCGCATGTCAAACCCAGGGGGCTGCGTGAGGCCATCTACAATGAGTTTCAGTGTCTCAGGTGTGGTGTCCACTGTCCTGGCCAGATCCTCGACACTCCTGGTTCTAATCTTGTTCTCCACACACTGTTGCAGGTCACCACTCCCAATCTGGTCTGCACTCCCACCAACAACGGACAGAAATCTGGATGGGGTGATGTGAAAAATATGTAAACTATGCATACAATTTCAACTTTTAAAAGTACAGAACAACTAAAACAATTTTAGTGTTTTCAGACAAGTTTAAGTAGTGGCTGGCAAAAGACAAAGTACACAAATTTGTTTTAACAGCAAGTGGTCCTAGATGGGCTAAAGCACATTCACCACATCCTGTACCAACTAACTGAAAGACAGACCCAGTTTTATGAGGGATAAAGCAGAAGAGAAGGGAAGAGGACGGGTGGAAGGTGTTGAGGAAAAGGATAAGAAAAGTACAACTGTCAAAAAATGAGAAAATAAGGATTATAGAATCAAAGAAACTGGAATGAGGGAGGGAAAAGCTAGTGCAGGTAAATTGAGAGAGAGAAGGGGGAAGGGAGGGAGGGCAGGAGAGGTGTGGGAGTAATTATACACAAAGTCAGGAGCTGCCAAGACTAGGCTTTTTTTTTTAAACACACAGAAACACAGATACACACATATTTATTTTACCCCCTGCTAATATAGGTAAATTTGCAGTGGGCTGTAAACACCCCGACACTTTGTTTCATCAAACTGCCTCCACTTTGCAAAGGTCTGACTGTTTGTCAACTGCCTGAAAAATCTCCTCCTATTGTTGTAATCTGGCAGGATGTCTCACCTCCAAAATGTCTGGACAGTCAGATTAAACCACTTAAAATTAAATGAGCCTGAGAATCAAATTCAAACTAACTGGCTAGTTTATAATCTAAAGAGACTCATTAACAAACTAACCTGAGTAGCAAATAGGGGTTTTGGAAAAATGTGGCTTGTCTGTTCTGGCGTGTGTGTCATTTACAGAAGGGACTTTCCACAGATGGTGAGAGATATGAATGCATTTGCCTCTATGCACATGTTCATGTGTAGACCAGTAGTGTCTGTAATGGACGTCGCTCACTGGAGGCCTGACGCCACACGAACTCCGCAGCTGTCCCCCCACCCCATGATGGACAGAACAGGTGGACACACACACAAAGTTGATTCATACACAGTTTTATTCAGAAATGCTCCATTGGCAGTAGTGGGGAGAGTGCGGATGTAACAGGACACGGCTTGTGTACAAACTATGTATGGGACAGCTGTGAGTGGTGAGGGCCCTACCAGCGAAGTCACCACCTACCGTCCTAAAGAGGGAGACGAGCAAAATCAATCACTCACCGACAGCAAGCAAAGACCGGTACAAAATCAGGTGTGTCTGTGTGTGAGACATGGCTTAACAGTGAGGAAACAGCAAGTTTGGAACAAAATGGATGCCTGTCTACCACTAATATCTTCTCTCCTGTGTCCCTTAGGCTGCTTAACTTTCCAATCATATATCACAGGAAAACAAATACTAATGTCTTGGTAGCCTAGTGGTCTAAGATGCATTCCACATAGCCCCTCTGGTTTGGATCTGAGTTGAAATATTTCCTGTGTTTCATTCAAAGACTAAACTGCTAAACCTATGAGGACACAGGTCCAAAACAGCCCACATTATCAGTTTACAAACCAAATTTAGGAGCATCCCTTTAACTAAGGAGGAGGACGACGAGGAGGAGAGGCAGTGTTGAAATAAGAGCAGCTGGACATTCTAGCTCTGGGTCTTACAATGGTTTTGGTGGGTGGTGAGTTCTACTTTTTTTCAGGTGTGTCTGTGTGTGTGTGTTGCTCATCTCATTTTTCAGCCATGTATGTTAGTATTTAAGGGGTGCCAGGAGTCCAGAGGCCTCCACCACTGTTGGGTTCACACTCATATAATTACTACCAACACTGTGTGTGTGTGCATATGTAATGTATATATGTGTGAATGTGGGGTTGGGTGGGCTTGGATATAGATTTTATCCAGGCCCACAGTGAGTACCCACTCTGTCTCATATTATAGAAATACTGAGCCCCAACTGTTACATATCAGAGATATTCTCATACCAGAGCAATACTGTGTGTGTCATGGAATGAACTTAAGTCTAAAACATACAACACATATAATATATGCTTCATTGATATTTTAATATGAAATGCTCTAATAGAGTAGATTTTCTACACCTGAGTATTATATACATATTCTTTAGAGAAAGTTATAAATCTACTCACACAGCATATCGTACTATGCTTGAAACAAAGCCTAACAAATTGTGTCTGTTTAAGTGCTTGTGTGTGTGTGTGTATTGTATATGGTTACAAAGAGAGGATGATGTGTGGGCTGTGAGCAGTAATGAAAGATCCAGTTTCTCTAATGTGAACAACATGATATGCATTATGCACCATAAAAGACACCCAGCATTCCTCGACAGTCCTCCCTCCATACCTATTTTCATCAGCGGTGGGTCAGGATGGGAGAAAAGCAGTGAGACTTGCCCTCACATCTAATGTTCTACACAACCTGAGACTTGTCATTTAGCAAGGGTTTTAAATGCATGCCAATATGCTTCTCTAAAGCAGAAGGTTTAAAAAAAAAAAAAAAAAAAGATATGGGCTGACTGATAAAAGCTCTTCTTGCGTGACACTAAAACTCACAGTAAGGAGGTGAAGTCAGATACATATACATATAATCATTTTATTTTAAATTAAATTTGAATCAAAGTAATTACAGCTGTAATCCGAGAGTTTATTTGATTAGACAGTCAATTCAGGGTCAACTACACACTGACAAGTATGATGGTCTACTTTGCTGAGCGTGATATATCTACACTGTTTTACACTGCATTAAAAAATACATCAGGCTGACGAAATTCAAAGGAAGAGCAAATGATTACATGCATCACTTTTCCTGCCGTCCACTGTCGTTAACACTTAAAGAGAGATGAGGCATGGTATAAAACCACAAGACATATTTTGAGATGCGTCTCAAATTCTGCAAGAGGTTGTAGAATTGAGACCATCACAAAATATTGTACATGTATATCAAGTGAGAAATGTATCTGGACTGCACTGAGTAAATTCCCAGACATGGATTACAAGTTAGTCATAACAAAGGATACCATATTTGCCAACACAGCATTAAGACTTCTGAACAGGAGGAAAAACAGAAAAGCTGAGAAAAATAAGTCTACTCGCAAGTAACTGTAGAAAGACGTAATGATGCGGGAGAGAGAAACATGCCAACAAAGAGAAATGCACAACATTTCCTTAGCTAAATGTAGGATACTGTTCAGAATGTACAAATAAAGCTGTTGAATGTGTTGTGGGCTACAAATTAAACCAAAATAAAAACTATACAAAAAAAGAAGACTTTTTAAAGGTCTGTGGGGAAAATGTTACGTTTCTTTAACCTATCAATAACACGTATTTTTATTTTTGATTTATCAGCAGATAAAGCCACTAGTTCACTCCAGCCTTGACTGGTTGAACAAAACAATTACAGAAACATGACAATACACATGTCCAGAAACCTACAACACAACACACACAAACACACATATTAGCAGGTGTGAATAATGAAGACTGACATAGAACAGCAGCATCTGGGCACCTTGCTGAGTTGTGATAACAAACACCACTGAGAAAGAAAGACAAACAGTGAGATAAAGATGGATGGATGGATGAGAAAGGGAATGATGTCTGCCCAGAAAAGAAGAACAAAACAGAAAATGAAGCAGAAATTTGAAGAAATGTAGATGTATGATGAAAGAAGTATAGAACTGTAAGTGTGAGAAAGGGAGGACAAATAAGAAGAAAGAAAGGGAAAGGAACAGGGTGTGTATATTTTAAAAAGGAAGGAGCAGGCTTCTCATATTTTAAGTCTTTTTAAACCTCTGACTCTTAACCATTTGATGAACAACTGTACATTTCAGCCTGTACTAAAACATAGACAAACACCCTTGCTTGCCTAGTTGAAGTGGTTAAGACAAAATATGCCTAGACTGTTTATGCATAAATGGCAAATAAAAATCTTGAATCTTGAAAAAACAGTTTCACACACACACGGCAGCATCAATCTATCTTCACACATGCATTGAGACCCATCCACCCACACATATATACTGAAGCCATTAAAGGCACATCAAGATGAGGGGAGTGATGCTTAAAGCCACTGGTGTCAGAACTTATGTAGACTAAACACAGTTGAGTGACTACAGCTGTAGGCAAGAGACCCTCCCTCCCTCTCTCGGTCGGTCTCTCTCACACACACACACACACACACACACACACGCAGATAGCCCACAGAAGTCCTGCACAAATGTTCAATGTGCTTTGAACACACACACGGACCTACACATGTACAAAGCAAATGCCTCCTCTCTTGTATCCCATGTCTGTGTAAATTAAATCAGAGTCCTCCACCATCATAACCAGCCCCATATGAGACGGTGTCAAAATCATCATCTGAGCCTAAACGTGCTTTGGCCAGTGGGGTAGGCTCCTGTACAAGTGTGTGTGTTTATATGTTTGTATGTGTGTGCTGTACCTCTGTGCTACGTGGTAGGACTCGGGGTGGATACAGGTCTGATCCAGGGGGTTAAATGAAGCAGGTATGTTGACACAAGTCTTTCCTTTGCCCTTCTTAGCTGCTGGTTTCTCTGGGACTACTGGTGCAGGGTGAGGTGAGGATTTGACACTGTTTTGACAAGAAAGACATTTTAGGCCAAAGGCATTTTAAATTTATTAATGCATTAAATTCACCAAATTACAGAAAACATAGCATCTCAACAGCCATGCAGTTTCAGTTTTGTCAGCTTCTGAGATGCCTGCTTCCACTAGTTAATAAAATTTGTTTCCATAATTCACAGCAGTGAAAACTTACTAATAAATATTAAACAACAAAGTGTCACTCCAGAAAGTGTTATTACTCTTCTTTTATATATGTTCTCTGAAACAGTTTAATGTGACAGTTGCAGATTACCCAGAGTAGCTGAGACACTTTCAAGAGACTCCTCTACTCCACAAAAAAGGAACAGCTACTCTCACCTATCTGTGCACACTACATGCTCTCATTGTAAGTCGCACTGCGCTCATCTGTTTTAATTCTTTCATACCACTGCCTTGCATAATTTCTTTGCATTTCATCTTTACATAAATAGTGGTCATATATTTAGCCTTAGTTTGCATTTATTTGTGTATTTTCGTAATCTACCTTGCTCACTTTTATCTTTGCCTACATTATTTGCCAATCTATTCATAATTTATTTGTCTTTTATATACAATGTTTGTGTGTTCATCTTGGGCGGGGCTGCATTTTAATCTGCAATGTATAATGACAGCAAGGCTGAACAAGATGCTGCTGCTGAAATTTTTTTAATACCAATTTTAGGCAAGGCAGCTTTATTTATATAGCACATTTCATACACAGAGGCAATTCAAAGTGATTTATATAGGCAGAGAAAAACAGCAACAACCTCAAAAGCCAAAAATATTAAAACCAGAATAAATTAACTTAAGAAATAATGAAGGAAAATGTTAACGTCAGATAAATTATAAAAAATTTAAATAGATACAAAGTAGAATGTCTGAAACGTGCTTATCTAGCCATTACAGTGCATTAATAAGTTGTAAGATGCCCTGAATGCAATAGATAAAACAAATGCAAAACAAAATTTTTGATGGTTTGAACACAACCAGCAAACGTCTACTGAGGAACTCAAAGATATAAACCTCACAAACTTAGGCAATTTAAACCTGTTCAGTTACATATCACTAAATGTAAGTAATACATCTTTTGGCAATGCATGGAACCTCACTTTTGTAAGAAAGTGAGGTTCTAGAAATCTGCGTCAACTGTGTATGTGCCCTGGTGTACCAACGTGTCTGTGCATGCAGTTTGCATATGTACCTGTGCAGGGTTTGCGGGTTGATTCTAATGAAGCCGGCACACTGCTGGTAGGTCTTGGGCCCCATGCCTTTGACTAGTTTGAGTTGCTCTCTGTTGATGAAGGGACCATTCTGCTCTCTCCACTCTGCAATATTCCGTGCCCTACCGACATTTAGGCCTGCTACATGCCTGGAAGATTAAAAAAATGCCACACAGCACATCTATTTAATTAAATAATTTTATGAGATGCCTTGAAGACTGTACAATTCTGAAATCTTTGTTCAATATTAGATGCTAATGTTAAGACAGTACAGTGCAAAATTAGAGAAAAGTTTAGTTTTAAAATTAGATAGATACAGTATCAGTACTATTAACACACCTCTGTGCATTTGCTTTGCACACTGTCTACACCAGGTTTCTATAATATACAAACAGAGCATATGTAGGCCGTGACCTGGCATTTCTACAGGCAGTGGAAACACTCACAAGAGACATGGCAGCCAACATTTAGTGAGTATATTTGTCAAGTTTTGGCAGAGCAACGAAGAGAGGTGATCTGAAAGTCAATTAAGTCTGTGCTGTTAATGTTCACAGTGGTTCACTCACACTGAAACGCACTGTTAGCACATCACATAATATCTCAGTCAGCAACACGTCTATGTGTGTTTAATTTGTGTAGCATAACGTGTCACTTCTGGCAGGAATGGAATAAGCTCACTTTCAGAGCAGACGGGTAAACAGATGACCTGACGCCTGCCTCGCTAATGCCAGCTCATTTCATGCTGTTTGTGTCTACTGCGAAAATGTGCATACACATCAAATTTGTGCACTTCCTGTAGTTTTGATTTTAAGTACTGTGCATGTCATAGTAGATACTGTAAATGTATGTGTACAGTATTTTATTAGAGATATAGTATTTGTGACTAAACGCATACTGTAAATGTTTCCCTCTCTCTTTGTCTATCTTGCCTAATCTCCTTTGCTGCATGTGTGTCTGTATGTGAGCACGTGTCTGTATGTGTGCCACACATGCACTTGCTTGTGAGGACATGGAAGGGTGGCTGGATGTGCCTTTGTGTGTTGTGTACCTCATCAGAATCTCAGAGCAGATGTTGATGTCCACCCCTACAAAGCTCACACACTCCTGCACCACGCCATCCAGCGCTGCCTTCAGAGCTCCAACTGATACATCATGCTAGAAACCACATAAACATTTGCACACAGACAGATACACACAAAGAAGAAATGTCAGTCTAATAACTGAATTAGCAGAGAAAAAAAAAATTAAAATACTATTTTCATCTATTGCACAGGGCAAAAGAGTTGCCTCCGCTCTAATAAACACACAGACATACAGAATATGAGAAAGTACTCTGGGAATTTTAGGGTTTCTAATTTTTTAGAGAGGAATCAAATAGCAGGAAATTCTGGTTCACTCTAAAGACAACGTATCTGCAGAAATCCTGTAATCTTACATCCTATTTTCATCCAAACAACTACCCAATATATTTTATTGCAGAGTATTCAGGGGACTTTACATGATCATGTTCTGCTTATATGATCCCCAAAGTTTATATTTGCTCATTATTATTTTCCATTTTTGCAATATAATTAAACAAACAAACAGCAGCAGAGAGAGTAATGAAATACTCACTCATTCTGAGGGAGCAGTGGGGGGGCAGGGGTGATTGACAAGTAGTACAAGTAAGAGGTGCAAAGAGAAACAGGGAGAAAGAGAGATAATTGACAGAGGGAATGCAGAAGGGAAAAGAGAGAGAATGTTTAGTTTGGCTTGTCTCTCGCTCTCTCCTGCTAACAGTGTTCTTGTTAATGTAGCTTGCTGTCAATAAATTGCTCCAAATGAACTTTTCACACTTCTCAACCATCAGCCAATCATCCATTAATCAGGATATATTTTCCAAAAGGACTGAATCTTTTTCTTAGTTAAAAGCAGGGAGGGAGGGGACCAGAGGTTGATAGTGGAACACAAAGTCACATGTAAAATGCTATTTTTGTATACAAAGAAATTATACACAAAAATTGAAAATGATCAAAACAAAACCCTTCTACAAGGCCTAGCAGGCCTCCACAGACAAACAGAAGCCCTGGGCAGTAGGACTGGGCCAGAAACCAAGGGGTTGAGCTGCAGACTGATGCCTCAGCAACTGCTTGGGGATTAGCTGACACTCTAGACTAGACTACTGTTGGGCTATGTGCATGTGCAGGCACAAATGTTTGTGTGTGCAAATGTGACCAAGTCTAGCATGGGTTGTAGGTAACATGATCAAGCTCTGAACAAACCCTGGCTTGTAAACAGATAACAACAACGCCAGCTCGCCAACGCATCCTACTGTCAGCAGTAACAGCACAGGAGGACAGATTGGGACAGACTGAGACAGACAGAGATATGAGCATGTGAGAGAACATGTGGGACTAAATTTTGCTTGGTCATTCATTTCCTCTATCAGACACATTCATTTCATTATTTAGCCCATTTATCATGTCTTTTAAGAAGCACTGTAAAGAAAGAGCAAAAACAGGCATAAACCTAGAAAGGATGGGTTTAATCCAAATGCATCAATGTTTAGTACATTTATTCATTCTGTGCCCAAAGTAATGTAAAAATAAAAAAGTGCTACATATGTTCCAGCATGACAAATAGATTTAACAATAAGGTATTACCACCCAGTTCCCAAACTGGCTGTTTACCAATATTATACTGAAGGATATAAAAGTTCTACTGCCAGGTTAAAGTGCCAGGAGTCTGATGTCAACAGCTATACTTCAATAAAAAAAAAAAAAAGTGATCATAAAGATAATAAACAGCTTAGACTTTCCCTATTATTCAGCTACAGGTACTCATTTTAAACAGTAGACCATCATTTTAAACTGTGGCACCGGTGCTTTTTATTAAATAAATGACCTGAATATTGTTCCCAGCACAGTTTGCAATTTAAAATAACATCTCAGTAATTAATGAGTGTATTCAATTAATTACTTTTAATTATGGTGCAAATCCTGCCTCAAAATAGACAAAGGCACCTTCAGTAGTCTGAATTCTGACACTTTCACTGTGCCGTATTTAATGAGCTATGGTTTCATTTTTAATTATCCTGGTGAGATGAAATCCCTTAATGAATTAAGGTGATACAATCAACTAAACAGTTTAAGCTTAGCTTAGAGTAAGCAGGATGGTGAATACACTATTATTCAGCAGAGAGAATAAGACAAGATAACAAGAGATAAAGTAGTGATGGAGAGCTGGCACAGCAGCCCTGGTGACTCATTGTTTGACCTGCAGTCTGACTGTTAGTAAGAATGCTGAAGCTCTACAGCTTTGGGCACTTTGTAGGCAATGGAAATAACTTTTCTAACAATAAGGAGTTTCCATACAACTAGACTGAAAAATGTATGACTTCCGGTGAGAGACAGAAATAGTCAGAGAGGAAAAGGAGGACATCACCTGTAATGTCACACCAGAGAGGAATGTTTTCACACAAGAAAGGTTGAGGTGTGTGAAGCACCGTGAGTTTTGACCTGCAGTAAAACCCCGATGAATGTGATCTCACTTTCTTACTGAAACCTTATAGAGGTGGGAGCAGCACAGGAGGATCGGAGGTATTGTATCTGTTAACACAGAAGTGCACATGCACTCCCAAACACAACTGTGCTCACTTAGGGATGGGAAACCTTAACTGGAACTTTCTTAAATTATTATTTTATTCCAATTAAAAAAAAAAGTAATTTGGGAAAAACACATAAAACACCAAGTGAACTGACAGTGTTTATCTCACAGCATAATCCTCACTCTGGAAACAGGGTTTATGAAGCATTTTAATGTAGTGCTGGGCAATACTCACATTTAAAAAACTCAAAATACTTACCTTGTGCTCAGTATTTATGCCTGCATGTGCAGGATTTGTGTATACAATTTGAGTTATTGGCTCTCTTTAAAGTACACTGTATTTTCCATTAAGTGAAGGGTATAAATGAAGTTTGGCTTGCTTGCTAATGATTCTATAATGATTCGCTAAAACACAGGGAATTAAGGATTTCCTTCAGAGGCATACAGTACCACCATTCATTTAGCAAAAAGAAAACTTACAGTAATGCAATCTCAGATTAAATTTAAATGCTGAAAGCTGTATGTTTTAAATATCATTTATTACCTAAGAAAAAGAAATACTGCACAGGTTGTCAGAGCTGAGCTAACTGAGCTGGGCCACACGTTTCTTCATCCTTGATTCATCAAATGAACATTGCAAACCCCAGCTACACCTCAAAAAGTCACAGTGGAATATATGGTCAAACATTTGGCTTTGCATACTTCACTTCAAGGAGAGCCTGGGCAAAAAAAAAAAATCCCTACTTCACATTTACCCCCAGTCAACCACAACCTGAGGCCAAGGCAAGATTTCAAGACCAGATGTGAAGCTGCATTTATTGATTACTATATGTAAACAGACATTAATGTCTGGCCTGGACTAAAACAGTATAATGTTTTTATTTCACTACCTGAAGAGAAAAACTACCTGAACTCATCTCAAAAAAACACAACGCAAAAACCAGAACAATCAGGCAAAGCAGCAGCAGCAATGATTTCATGTGTAAAGTTGAAGTGGAACAGAGTAATTGTCAGAGAAAATGAGAATGTTGTTCTCTGTGTGTGTCTGTCCTGACATGCAGACAGCAGAGGTCTTCATTGTGTCCTTCTCAGTTTACAGTGGCACTAACTGCACCAGTGGAGCATGTTGTCCTGTATCCTTCAGTCCATCTTTAAAGCCATTTACCCATTTTTGTCTTGAAAATCACAAATACCACTTAGAAAAGTCATCTTTGCAATGGCGGTGCAGTCCTAGTGTTGAGCATTTATTTTTTCCGATGACTCTAGCAATCATCATTCAGCACTACTTCACCTTCACTTTATAACTTACATCTCAGGTGTCTTATGTCCTACCTTACTTTTCTCCTACTGCCTTTTCTACAGTCTGTGGTTTTCTGTAATTATTTCACACTCAACTACACGTTTAGTATCTTTAGTTAAGACTGTAGGGTTGTGTGAGGGCAGTGACAGAGAGATAGCAACCAACGGTTTTGCTTCAAGATTCACAGTGACACAATGCAAGTAGATGTAAAACTGATTTTCAGAAAAACATAATTAAATGTATCACCAGTCTTTAGCTAAAGGCTCAAACATCTGGCTATGGGCAGACCTTTACAACTTCTACATCCATTTACCCCATAAATACACTATCATTCATTTTTGAGACCAGCTCCACTCTCTCATTCTGTAAACCCCACCACCCAGATCCCAAAAACCTCAAAATCATCCAACGCCAATGGACTGGATCCCTATGTGTGAAGGTCATGTTTGGATTGGCCGGAAACCAGCTGAAGCCAGCCAACCAACACGCAAGAACATAGTGCTTCTGTCTGCACCTTGAGTACTTCAGCGCTGCTGAGTTACTGCTTGTCAATCAGAGAGAGATAGAGAAAGACAGAAAACCAAAACAAGCTTCTTTCTGAGTTATCGCACAGAAAAACATTCATGTCCTTTTCTCTGTTACAGACACACATTTAAAGCTTTCCTCTGCAACAAGGCATAAACAATATATAATCTAAAGCCAATAATTATAAACATGGAGGACCAGAAAACCAGAGAGGTGAAGCATGCTCTTAGCGATACAGTAAGGTGCTGACTGACAATAGCGAAGGTGTTCAGACTGACAGAAGATTAAAATACCATTTTTAAAGGATGCCACTTAGAGCTCAGCAACTGGAACCACACTGGAGCCAGAACGGCTGCACGAACAAAAAGCCCAAGGACAGTAAATGATGACAAATGTAAGATAATTACAAACTTCAAAATCTAATGGCATTTGGCTGCTTTTCATTGCATTCAGCCTGTGAAACGCTTTCCTATCTTGCAAATTAGGAGCATTTTCATATTTATTGCTTTATTTTTAATACCAACTCCAACTTAAGTTTAAAAGCATGTTGAATTATAATATGGTAATTTACTCTGCCATGCATTTCCTTTATTCCTGACCTATAAGAACACCTTTAAACAGTACACTCAAGTTTCCTCTTTTTAAGTTGCCTACAATTTGACTGCCGCTTGGCTTCACTACTACAGAACTATCAATGCTAACATACAGAAAGAGAGGGTCAAAATGTTGATAACCCCCATAGCCCTATGTGCAGCGCCACTCCTCTGAATGTAGATGCAGCAGTTTTAATGAGAGGAAAGTCTAGAAGCTGCAAAACACAAAGTTTGCATGAGTTCGGAAACTCCTAAAATGTTTTTGACTCCTACAAGAAGAAGAAGAAGAAGAAAAAAAAAAAATCGGTGGTCTCTCGCCAAATGTGTGCGTGTGAGTGACGTTACAACACTGCTACATCACATCTTTCACTCTCAGATAATCAGTGGATTTGTGACAAACAAAGTGCCTAAGGTTATCTGGAGGTCAAGCTCTTGTTGACTGACACCTATAAGGCCTCTGAGAACTTCCTCTTAAACACACTGTGTACTCTGGGAGTGTGGGTGTGTGCCCACATGACTACGTGCATAGTTAAATACCAGCTGTATATCAGCAGCTGAATGTGATATGACAGCAAGGAGAAGGGTTTGTGTTTTTCCAGCACCTTTCATGAATGCCTAATGGCTATTTCTAGGCTTCCTGCAAAACAATCACACACACACACACACACACACACACACACATATGTATTACCTGAGGGACTGCAAAATAGAGTATGAACTTGAAACAGGATCAATTTCAAGCACAGGAAGCCAAATAACACAATGACCCAACCTGCATTCATGATTTAGAATAAAGTCAGCTTTGACTATTTGGGCAAAATGTCTTACCAAATGTTCCATTAAGCAATTTCTGCAGTTTTTGTGGCCCTGAAACAAGGTGATACCAGATGTGCTGATTTCAGATCATCATTCTAATTTATCCACACTATCGCTTCTTTTTCATAATACTCATTTTTACATTTTGGATTTCTTGTTACCATCCTGCTGACACAGCATCAGACATGAAATGTTTTCTAAATAACTGAATAAGCAGACCATTGGCATAAACCTGTGTAAATCTATTATATGAGCAAAAGATTGACAAGCCTGACCCATCTCTCAACCTCTCCCAACACACAAATACATGCTGTGACAGATCTAGGGGAAATTATTAAAATAGTAGCAGATGATGTTTTGGCAGCTTCCGCCACTGATCGAGGGATAAGTGTTTTTCCCACGCCTTAAAATGCTGAGGCAGAAACTATCAATCACTGTCAACCCTCCATTTCTCACTCTCCTTCCTTTTCTCAGATTTGTCTGCTCCTGCCTCCCCTGTAGGCACAGCCATTCAAGACTGAAAGAGAGCGTGCTCAAGTGCGCACGCACCTTTGCACAGTCGTAAACGCACAGCCCTCAGCTCATTTCCTCCCAAAGCACATAGTCACAGTGGACTTGGTGTGAAAGTGACATCACTTGCCCTGGAAGTAGGTACAAACCTCAAATTAAATTAAATTTAATCCAATGCAAAAATATCAGAAGTTGTAGTTTTTCTGTTGACCTGATGGCTCTGAATAAATTCAACGTCAGTGGGAAACCCACCAACCTACTTGCAGAAATACATAAACTAAACAAGTTCATAGTATTTTTTTGTGCCCACAGGTCTATCAAGTGTCATTAAGACAAGAAGTAGTGTCATTAGGACAAGAGGAGAAGTAGAATGGTTAAACAAGGTGAGAAGAGTGACTGTT